ATCATCAATAATCTGTTATATATAAAAACATAATTTATCCATAGATATATAGCAAAGTTACGATGGACAGATGAGAGTTATTAACGCTATAAAACTTAAATTCAATATATCATATAAAGTACCTCAAATCCCGACGATTTCTCGTATCGAAAGGATTCTAAAGTAAAGATGAAAATTAAGATGAGAAATTTCGAAGCAACTCTCCAAAAACTCCACAAACTCTCCAAGCTCATGGTAACGACCAACTGGATGTACTAGTACCGATGTTGGAGTAATTAGCTCGCTCAGTCACACGTTTTAATACAAATCATCTGCGCATGCGCAGTAACGATAACAATCATCCCACAACTTTCGTACGCCTTTAAATTTTGGTATATATATAAATAAAGCTAAAACTTCATATAGTAGATGTCAACTAGCAGTGGAAGCTGGGTGCGATATAGTAGGATCATCAATAATCTGTTATATATAAAAACATAATTTATCCATAGAATTATAGCAAAGTTACGATGGACAGATGAGAGTTATTAACGCTATAAATCTAAATTCAATATATCGTATAAAGTACCTCAAATCCCGACGATTTCTCGTATCGAAAGGATTCTAAAGTAAAAATGAAAATTGAGATGAGAAATTTCGAAGAATTGAAACTACAGAATTTTTCAACAAAAAAATGTTGAAAATACTTGTACTACCACAAGATTCTTCAATGTCTATGCTCTAAAATAATAGTCATAAAACGACAATTTCAAAAACATAAAAACTAAGTATTTGTAGCATTGGTGAAAGATACAGGATAAACATGAAATATCCTCAGACGACGATGGAACGAGACCATAACCATTTGATGTGAGCTTCTTCCTAACAACGTTTGCGTAATCCGTTAGCATACCATGAAAACTAACTTCTGGTTTAGGCGACACTTTACTAGCAACCTCCTCAACGTCTTCAGGACAATTAACGTATACTGAACTGGTGTCACAAGGCTCAATGACGATGACCAACCACTCGCCATACCTAACATAATACCACGAGAGGTCTTTCTTGGGTAGATCAAGCTTTAAGGAACTTCAGACAAGGGTTGTGTTGAGCTGAGAACTAAAAAAGAACAGATATGGATAGATGATGAAGTGGAGAACAAGAATAGAGGTTATAGAAGACACACTACGTATGCTCATTGGTGTTTCACAAGAGTATACATTACAGGATAACTATGGATCCAACTAGTCTAAACAACTAGGTACATTTAAGCAATCCATCTTTCCCATGGTAAACACACGTGTCAAAAAAACGTGATCAAATTACAAAATTCGTGCAAGCAAATAGTCGGACATGGTATTGTATTTGTAGAAGAGAGCCAATATAATAAAAAGATTCTCTTGGGGCATTTGTAAATATTAGTTTAGAAATACAAATCGACTAATTATAAAGGCAGAAGATGTAAGAGTGAATAAAAACCATTTCCCAGCAAATTAAAGGAAAGCTTGGATATGACATGCAATATGCAGGTATAAAGTTGTAGAGAAAAATAAAAAACATTTCTAACGTTGTCACGATATTACGAGTGCCGTAAAAAAGTGTTGACGAGTTTCACATGCATTTGTAAAAACAAGCTTAAGTAGACAAAGAGCATGCCAAAAATATAAGATGGAAAACTTGCTCAGCGCATCTACAAGCACCAATTTCAGAGCTCGCTCTGTCACAAAATAATTGAGAATCTGAGCATGCGTTGTCAACTCCACAAACTCTCCAAGCTCATGGTAACAACCACCAGAATGTACTAGTACCGATATTGGAGTAATTATCTCGCTCAGTCACACGTTTTAAGACAAATTATCTGCGCATGCGCAGTAACGATAACAATCATCCCACAACTTTCGTACGCCTTTAAATTTTGGTATATATATATAATTTTGGTATATATAAAGCTAAAACTTCATATAGTAGATGTCAACTAGCAGTGGAAGCTGGGTGCGATATAGTATGCAGTGGCTTAGGGCCCTCACTTCGGTGGCGACCGCTCTCCCTGCGTACCCTGAGCAAAGCCTATCGCAGGTGATCTCAGGGTCTGATGGGCGGAAGCTTGATATTGGCATCTCCCAAGTAGGATAGCGTGGAGGGGCCGAAATCTCCTACCGAAACGTTAACATGCGGCGTTCTAGTGCCTTGCGCTTAAGAAGGTATCGGGAAGCATGGACCGAAAGCGGGGTTTTTGCTTTCGAATTTTATCTTTTGTTTTCTTCTCATAAAACAAACCAAGCAATGTTTCAATTAACTTCTTATGACCCTGTCTTTTTCTGACACTTATAATTAAAGACAACCTAAACATGTTTATACCAATTTTATCGGTTTATATCTTTCTGATTTAACTCTCCCATTTACTGTTTCTCATGTATCACGAGCAAACCATCCATATGTTTCATGGAAAACAAACAAGGATTATGTGGTTCCCTTAGTTAACATGCGACGCTCTAGTTCTCAACTATCTCGGGGTATCGGGAGGCATGGACCGAAAACGGGATTCTTTGGTTTTCAAAATTTATCTTTTTCTTTAGAAGAGTTCTTCTCATAAAAAACTAGAACTCCAAGGATACTTCAAAGGTTCAAAAATTTCTGCCTTTTTGAACTTTAACATAAACAAACACTAAGCATGTTTATACGTTTTTACTTAAAACCTTTTACAACGTAACTTTCTCATAACTCTCGTGATGAACGAGAGCCTCCTTATACAATATGACTCTTTCATCATGAACGAACGCATCCATGGGCTTCACGGAAAAAAGGGATTATGTACTTTGTTATAATAGTTTCTACAAAGATAACATTTATTAAGCTAAGAAATTTGAAAATAAATATATTTGAGTTATTAGCAAATAACAAGTCCAGAATTTATTGATCATACTCATTCCAATTGGTCTGGAACAACCATGACATTTATAATTTTGACCATCCAACCCTTTATCAAGGGCTATATTGTTAATTAACGACAGTAACTTCATACGTCGTTTTTGCTGAACACCTTCAGGTGAAGTAGGATCATCAATAATCTGTTATATATAAAAACATAATTTATCCATAGAATTATAGCAAAGTTACGATATACAGATGAGAGTTATTAACACTATAAAACTTAAATTCAATATATCGTATAAAGTACCTCAAATCCCGACGATTTCTCGTATCGAAAGGATTCTAAAGTAATGATGAAAATTAAGATGAGAAATTTCGAAGCAACTCTCCAAAAACTCCACAAACGCTCCAAGCTTATGGTAACGACCAACTGGATGTACTAGTAACGATTTTGGAGTAACTAGTTCGCTCAGTCACACGTTTTAAGACAAATCATCTGCGCATGCGCAGTAACGATAACAATCATCCCACAACTTTCGTACGCCTTTAAATTTTGGTATATATATATAAAGCTAAAACTTCATATAGTAGATGTCAACTAGCAGTGGAAGCTGGGTGCGATATAGTATGCAGTGTCTTAGGGGCCCTCACTTCGGTGGCGACCGCACTCTCCCTGCGTACCCTGAGCAAAGCCCATCGCAGGTGATCTCAGGGTCTGATGGGCGGAAGCTTGCTATTGGCATCTCCCAAGTAGGATAGCGTGGAGGGCCGAAATCTCCTACCGAAACTTTAACATGGGGCGTTCTAGTGCCTTGCGCTTAAGAAGGTATCGGGAAGCATGGACCGAAAACGGGGTTTTTTGCTTTCGAATTTTATCTTTTTGTTTTCTTCTCATAAAACAAACCAAGCAATGTTTCAATTAACTTCTTATGACCCTGTCTTTTTCTGACACTTATAATTAAAGACAACCCTAAACATGTTTATACCAATTTTATCGGTTTATATCTTTCTGATTTAACTCTCCCATTTACTGTTTCTTATGTATCACGAGCAAACCATCGATATGTTTCATGGAAACAAGCAAGGATTATGTCGTTCCTTAGTTAACATGCGACGCTCTAGTGCTCAACTATCTCCGGGTATCGGGAGGCATGGACCGAAAACGGGATTGTTTGGTTTTCAAAATTTAACTTTTTCTTTACAAGAATTCTTCTCATAAAAAAAACTAGAACGTCCAAGGATACTTCAAAGGTTCAACGTTATACGTTTTTACTTAGTACCTTTACAACGTAACTTTCTCATAACTCTCTCGTGATGAACGAGCCTCCTTATACAATATGACTCTTTCATCATGAACGAACGCATCCATGGGCTTCATGGAATAAAGGGATTATGTACTTTGTTATAATAGTTTCTACAATATTAAGATGAGAAATTTCGAAGAATTGAAACTAGAGAATTTTTCAACAAAAAAATGTTGAAAATACTTGTACTACCACAAGATTCTTCAATGTCTATGCTCTAAAATAATAGTCATAAAAACGACAATTTCAAAAACATAAAAACTATGTATTTGTAACATTGGTGAAAGATACAGGATAAACATGAAACATCCTCAGAAGACGATGGAACGAGACCATAACCATTTCATGTGAGCTTCTTCCTAACAACGTTTGCGTAATCCGTTAGCATACCATGAAAACTAACTTCTGGTTTAGGCGACGCTTTACTAGCAACCTCCTCAACGTCTTCAGGACAATTAACGTCTACTGAACTAGTGTCACAAGGCTCAATGACGATGACCAACCACTAGCCATACCTAACATGTTACCTATGTGTCGCTGTATTTCCTACTTTTTAGAGGAGAAAGACCGCTGAGAGTATCAGGATGTTTCATTTCAAGAGTGGGGATGTTCACACCTGAAGAAATGAATAAATATGAATGTGTGATAGTGCCAATATGTGACAGGTAAGGGTGGAAGCACTAAATTTTTACTGTTTCGTGATGCAAAGGCCAACCTGAGCCAACTCCATGTTCATTTAAAAAATATAGGCTGCATTGGTGGCTCATTGCATACAATATTAGAGCAGGCAAACTCTATGTGTTATGCAGTATGGGATGGCAAAAAAGAGAAGTTGCATCTAGTATACGAAGGTATATGACGTACATAACAATTTACTTGAAGAATGAAGTGTATCATGTATCTAACATGTTGACAAAGTGAATGTTTCTAGCACGTCTACACAAATCATTTTTCTTGTGAAAAAGATATTTTCAGCATGTGAGGCAAGAGCAAAGATGGCCAGAAGACATTGCTCGAATTTCCCAACCTATATATGCCGACGTAAGTCCTTATCATTTACAATGGCAAGTACTTATCATTTACAAAGGGATAACTTAACTATTGACGACAGGTGATACAACAAGCAAATGGTTATGACTGTGGCATATTCGTGACAGAATTTGCGAGAAGAATATCAGAGGGGGTAAAGTTGAGAAAAGATATCATGATTCTTAATCACTTTGTTTACTCTGTTCATATAAAGATAGTGTTCTTTTTGATAGGGAGAAGTTGGTCCTGGATTACTTGCCGATATCCATGTAAATAGTAAAAGACCATACCTTAAAAAACTGATTCGAAGCTTTGCCATTTAGCGAAGCAATTTGTAATGAAGCAGAATTTAAGTTTAAAGCTGGTGCATATGAATAACATTCTCTTATATTTATAACAAGTGATGTAAATAATTTTTTTACAAGTAACGACGTTACATGTAATTGTTACTTTTGCAGAAACTATATGGGTAACTATGAAGTAATATTTTGTACAGATAAAACTATTCATAAAAACAAGTTTAAATTTTTCGAAAAACGAAACTATAACGCGTTACTAATGAATAACGCGACTAAGAGTGAGAAAATAGTGTTTGTAGGCTATTTCTCTCTCAGGATTGTATTTAACAATGCGTAACATATTCCTGTGACAAATATGAAGTTTTGTAAAAAGAAAAAAGTTATCGTATTCCATGTAAGAAACCATGGAGGCTTAATACACGAATTGCACTGTTCAGCAGCTTGACTATTGTACATATTGAGCGTGGGATACAATTTCATGTTATATCCCTCGCAGCATCCTACACATAAAGGACAGTTATAAATCAACAAATTTTGTGAGAACATAAAAACGGCCATTTTTGGATCAATAAGTTCGCTTCAAGTAAAATAGGAAGAGTATGGCAGTTTACCTGAATGATTTTTCCAATGAAACTTATCAACAACAAATTTTGTTTTCTTAAAAAATGCTGGATCTCGGTTCAAACAATACTCGTGCAATCTGCAGGCATTATCGTAAATGACCAACTCTGGCGCTAAAGAAATAAAAATACATAAGCATATCATCAGGCACATTCGGTTATGTTACTGAACTGAAAACTCTGTCAGGCGACTAAGCCGTCACGCAATCTGTCCGATTCACTGATAATACTCTGTTTGTAGCACCTTAAAAGGTACACGCATACGTAAATTACCATCAGGAAAACGTGTTCGTAAAATGGTTAATGGATATTTGGTGATTCGTGATCCCTCATTATTTCGAATCCATAACATATACCTGGAAACAAAAACGAAGGCGCAATGTCACTTACTGCAATAGTAAAACAAATTTTCGTTGGCGCTGTTCATCATGTAAATACCGTGGGGACAAAGAATACAAAATATTCCAGGGATCAAAGTGCCATGCTTCTTCTTGGGCCTAGTGACTTTGGCACAATCTCCCTGCTGTGTCTTCCTATTGTCAACAACATAATTCCCTCGTTGAACCAGTTCTGGCAGACAAGGTAGATATCCATGGGACGAATTTTGAGACACCGAAGGTAAGTTGTGTGGCAAACGCCACTGACCGTCCTTGACCTCGAACGGACTTATAGCCTTTTGTACCAATTCCGTTAGCAGCGGTTGAATAGTAATAGGAATTTCTTCGCTAGTCTCAATGACGTTAAACAGTAGGGGCATTTCTTCATGAAGAAGTTTTAAATCAGTCGAAGGATTGTTTTTTGGATTGGCTCCATCAGACATCCTTATCAAGAGGTCCAAAACTTCTTCTTTGGGGGGCACAATTGCGCATACTGGTTTGTCAGAAGCCAATGCTGCCAATAACCTTCTGCACGAGTTTGGACAACTAGTGATAAATCCTTGTTTCTCTAACCATTCAAATAGAGTCCTAAGCCCTTTGAAGATATCTATAAATACGAGAAATTGTAGTATAAAATGAGCTCTGGAGTGGTCATACAAAATTTTGTACTCGTGGGTAATAAATTCTTCTTACTTCAGATTTTAATTCTTGAAATTCGTCCCAACTTAGCTTTGAATCACTGTACTTCTTCAATAAAGCTCGCACATTTCTCCTGTTGATGAAATTGCGCATTTCAAACCTAGTATTGGACAAAAGAAAACAGGTTGTTATTTTTATAACTATAAGCTGTGTACAAAACAAAGTGAGAGAAGTCACCATCATGCATAAAATGCTTTCTGATACGTAGATGAACACTCGTATTTACTAATTAGCAGACCTGTATATACTATATATTACAGATAAACTTCAAAATACTTATCTTCCATCTAGCAATCCAGTATCAGACTCTCTTAAATTATTTGGTAAGAAAGTTTTCTGTATTCCAAGAGTTGTTCCATCCATCACCACCTTCTGGGGAATTCTTCCACATAATTCACAAAAAAACCCATTGTCAAAATCAATATCAAGCAACCTTAATAAGAGAAAATTCAATAACTTAATAAAACAAGCGATCACTATCTCAATGGAATATTCATATTTTACAGCTGAAAATGAAATGATGCTTACCGTATCATGGCAATGATAGCGAGACGAAACTTGGCGTAAGTTATTTCCTTTGGGAAATTCAAATTACCCGAAGACACTTGCCTTTGTACATATGCAACATAATATTTGTACATAGGTAAACTGAACAAGAATAAAAAGAAAAACATTCAAAAGATATAGTGCGAGAAAATTAAATAATGGACAAACGTAGCTACTAATGCTTCGGCAAATTTTCATTAAAAGTACCTCGACGTTATGAAAAGCCGAATGTAATCTTTAGAACGGCATGAGATATTGCATATGATCCAAACCATACAATCCTGTTTTCAATGCCATCATAATGCTTTTCGTAGCACAAGAGGAGCAAGGTCTACAATACACTAAATAATTTATTTAAGTCAAATAATTATGAAGTGAAGCGTAACCTATAACAAATCAGAACTTACCCTTCACATCATGGATTGAACAAAAGTACGCAACTGAACACAAGTCTACGTACAACCATTCATCTTGAATAGAACGTTTATCCCACTCTGCACCACAAGAACAAATACCACTTTCAGATGGCGCCAAAATTTTATGACCATTTTTTTCAGGAAGATCAGTAAAATCGCTTGCATCATTCTCATTGCCTAAAATAATTAAATTGTAATATTTACAAAATGCTAGAAAGTGCTAAATACCATACCGATAAAGGAAATAGTATATGTAAAGCTAAAAGGATGTTCACCATTGCAGATTATCTTGCATACCTGTTTCAAATAAAGAAACCTTTTCTTTGCTAAGTGTAGCCAATTCAAAATAGTCTCGCATCTGGTGTAATTCCAAAGGAAAACTTAAAAAGTGCCAATGGAGAATCCATTTCATCCTCTTCAACGATTTGCATGGCTTTTGCAAGGGTTGTCACATGAATGCAATGATATGACGAACAGCTGCAACATTTTAACTCGGGCGGCATTACTTTTGAATACACAAAAGTACAAACCCCCATGGACTATTCACTGGTTTTACAGCAATCCACTGAACCTCCCTGCACACTGCACTAAACAAGTCCTAAAATATGTAAAATCATTTATCTTAAGGTTATATTATGTGTGTGTATGTATGTGTGTGTATGTATGTGTGTGTATGTATGTGTGTGTATGTGTATGCAGAATTAATAATTATGATTAATTATGACTTCACAAAATTCTTAGAAAGTGCTTAATATATATATATCAGGCCCGTAAAGCAAATGGTGAATATGACTTTACTATTTTTGTCATACATTTAGTTTATACTACTTAATGTATGTACTGTAAGTATGTGACTATGTATGTATGTGAGTATGAATGTGTATACCTCAATAGTCATAAATAAATTCAATTTGCCCTGTTGGTTATCACCCTAATAGCTTTATAGAAGCTCCTGAACTTAGGCACAGGATGTATGGTAACAAATTGTGGGGTATTAGAAGGTTGAGAAACAATACGTGTATTTGTACAAAAAAGTTATTTTCACATAACAAAATATACTTCTTCAGGTTGCATCTCATGGTAGGAATGATCACTGAAAACAGACTGCATCATGGATGTGGATTCTGCATTCATAAAAGAAATTGATGAGATAAATATATTGTGTAAATAATCATTCACAAGTTTTAACAATATTTTGCTTGTAAAGCTGTGCTGGTTAACATCCACATGTAATAAGAACAATGTCGAACAAGGGTCTTGTAAAACACAGAAGGATGACTTCACAAGGGTTTGAAATGTACAATAAACTGATATTTAAGGATGAAGACATTTTCTCCCATACCACATGAAGAACTTTACATTGAAAAATAAGCCAAATACAAATTTGAGACATTCACTACATGCAATGTCAGATTAATATGTAACAAGTTCTCACATCTTTGACAAGGGTCTTGAAACAAATAGTATGTAAGTGTAAGTCAAAATTTGGTGAAGCTGTTCAGACACCTTATATCCTGAAAGAGTAACACACAACACTTACTTTTTCAATAAAATCTTTGGCTTCAATACCAAACTTTCTATCATACACAACCAGATATTTTTCCATTGCTAATATGTGTATGCAACTGGGATATGGTATATCTGACAAGTACAAAAATGTTGTTTGGCCTGTTTTAATCATTTCATTTCAGTAACATCTATTTTACATACCTTTTTGAGGATCTAATTGTATATTATTAGGTAGGGCTTCAACAAATTGCTTTCTATTTGCATCACATGAGCAGCACAATATCCAACCATAGCCATCAAGCAATAGGTGGGGATATCGATGTACAAATACAAATGAATTATGCTGAAGAAAAAATACATGCAGATTATAGCACCAAAAAGAGTATTGAGTAATATCATTTAGTTGGGTATATACCCAACATTGAAATTATGGAAATAAAATTTGACATCACCATAATTGTTCTTTTGTTTGCATTATAATCATGAACAACAAAGGATTGCTGACGTGATACATTTGATGCAAAGTCAAACTGTAACAATAGCCCAGTATAGTGGCCAGTGGGTGACAAATGACTCTGAAAGAGCAAGTACACAGTAATTATTAATGTTCACTGTTTCAAAATATCTATTGTAATATATTTTTATGTTTGTTGAGCACATTTCTACCAGATGTTAATAAAGTTTTGCTACACAGTGTTTCATGCATAAGCAATCAACAAGCATATTGTCAATTTATAACACATTAAAACATGACTAGTGGTAAACAGTATAAAGTATAACTGTATATGTGAGAACTACTTGACTATGTTGACATGGTTGTTTGGGTTCCTCTGTAATAATAGAGATAGATTGCTTGGTAAAGATATCTTCAGAGTCCTACAAATAAAGACCATTATTTAATTTAAAATGTGTACAGACTTTTAATAAGTGTTTAAATAATGCATGCCTTCTTTAAATTACTTCAAAATTTTTTAGTTATTTCTAGTGAAAGCAGTCCTACATATAACCACTTCCAATGACTTTTCATGAGAAACAATATCAATATGTACATTAAAACCTGTGTTTTGGTGGTTAACTCTTGGTGCTTGTCATAATTTTCAGCAATATCTTCACTTTGTTCATTCTACATATAAATGAAAAACCCATAAACATAGCGTATTTTATATCTACATAGTTTTACAATATATGTAAACTTACCAAATCCCCAAATTCATTTTCTTGTTCAAAAATTGAGATTCATATGACACACTGCTATTCTATTAACATATATGACATTGTGATTAAAGGATGTAGAGAATCCAGACTTGAAATTGGAAAATGTGCTCGAATAAGTTTTTCCTTACACCACATTGTGGGCATAAATAAATTTGTACACATACTTTTGTTAATATAACTGTGGTAATAAAATAAATTAATATGAAATTGTGCAACCAGAAACAATAAAAGAACACTTTAAAATTCCTACCGCATCATCTTTTGTGTGTTTCCTTTCCTCTCCACGTTATTGTAAAGAAGTCATTTGAGCGTCTGAATTTCTTCCTGAATTGATAAATTTTGCAAGTGTACCCAAAATTAATACCCCGATTTATAAAAACCAGTACTGCACGTGTTCTTGGATTGACAAAGTTAGCCTAGAATTAGTCTAAGTACCATTCTCCCAGCCAGACTCCCGATAGATATTTAAAAAAGTACTAAGCATAGTACTGAGTGACTGAGCCCTGTTGATCGATTGCCTTGCTTCGAACTTTTGATGTTGCAAACTCCTAAAAAATATGAATACGCGAAGAAATATTGTCCTCATACATGAACTTTGAAAAATGTAGTAAATGGAAGCCCTGAAATTTCTTTCTTAAGCTGCACCAGTCGGATGGTTGTATTTGTGGTTGTATATGCCATTTTAAGGCGGATCTCCACTAGACGATTTTTGTGACGATCGTCTTAAAAATTCGCTGCGCCACATGTGCAGTAGGAAATAAAAATCGTCAACTAAATCGTCAAGCGCTCGACGAAAAGTAGAAACGGTTTCTACTTTTCGTCGAGCTTATATCGTAAATTGAACCAATGAAATTTCATCCCGTGAAACTAATTACCATTTCTCTAAAGTCAAAATGGCTGCCACCAGTGGAAAACGAATTCCAACTGAACGGTACAAATCCTGTAGAAAATATACCGTCAGAGATTCAAATACTTGCATCTCCGAGGAATATCTCAGTGGTGCAACATTTTGTTGATCAAAATGTGGTACAAGATGTTGGAGAGCTCGATAAGAAATGTTTTGCAAGCTCTCCGAGACTATAGTTGCTTGTGGGATACAAGCAATATAAACTAAAAATAGGACCATGAAACTTAATGCATGGAAATCTTTGTCTCGAATGTTCCAGCGAGAAGGTAAGTGTTCTAAATTAATGGAGGACTTCAAGAAACTTGAGAATTTCACTTATGTGTTGTTTGGTTATTGTGATGTAACATGTTAAACATGCTAAAGTGGACAGGAAAACTTCTCGACGTTTCTGCATAGGGTGTTCGTCTCACCATTTCGTTTGACTGTGCTCCTTGACTATATGTGTTATTTCGTATTTTATGTCAACTCTAACAAAATTTGTTTCTTGCCCTTTTTCAGTTCCATACCTTCAGAAATTTTTAAGAACCTTAAAGATTCTCTAAAAAAATGCCTTGATAGGAGACGAGCATTGTCTAAATCTGGGGCAGCTGCTTTGACACTTCCAACATGCAAATATTTTGAGGTTATGAGCTTTCTTCATGAGAAAACAAGCAATTTGGAAACTCGCAGCAATGTGGATCTTGAAATCCAAACAATACCAGAGAACATATTGGACATATCCTCATCACAATCTCCAGGACCTAGTCAGCCTTCTTCAAGCTGTTCAAGCGTATCAGATGAGGCAAAATATGGTAAAAGAAAGCGTCCTAATTCTAACGATCAACTAGACCCATTTCTTGACCATGTGAAGAGTATGGACCAGAAAATGGTAAATTATTTAGAAGGAATGTCAAGTAAAAGAAAATGAAGATAAGGATGAAGCAGAGTTATTTTGTATGAGTCTTGTTCCAGTTTTAAGAGATATGGAAAAAAAGCAACTCAGACAAGCTAAATTAAAAATTCAACAGCTTTTGTATGATTTACAATATTCAGATACCTAATGAAAATTGTTGTAGAACTTCACATATTGCATTATAAATTAATAACAAACTCACTTATACAAGATACATTCCTTCCAATGAATACAGATATATAGCAAGTGAAATCATTTATTTTAAAATTACAGCTTAAACATGTATTGCTAACTACATAAGTGAAAAACCCCTTTCGTATGAAAATCCATCACATCACTAATGCTCATATTGAATATAAATGGCTTTAAATTCGTTTTTTATTTTGAACACCTTACTATATGCCACTGCCAGTCAACTGCTCCTTCATTATTAAAATAATCAGCAAATTGTTCACGAACCCACTTAGCTTCTGCACCATAGTTATTTGATGCACCAACATCTGTAATGTCACCCAATCCATTCATACAATTTGCATCTTGTCGCCACTCACCAGGTTTAAACTCATTACCCATTTTCCCATCTTGATCAGCAAATGATGGTGGACAGTATAGATTTGAATCGTCATCTTCATTTATGCTCATAAGGAAGTTATGCAATGCCACAACAGCTTTAGTTATGGCAATCACATTATCAACTTTGGCAACTATAGGCCTATGAAACACGAAACCGACTAGCACAAATACAAAAGCATTTTCAATGACACGTCTGGCTCTGCTTAGCCTGTAATTGAAAATTAGTTTCCTCTCAGACAGGTTTGAAAAAGGATAGGGCTTCATCATGTGGCGTTTTAGGCCAAATGCATCATCCCCTACAAATACGTGGGGTAATACTTTCGTTGAATGGGTAATCTTGCCATCTGTGGGCATGTTGAGAAGCTTGTTTTCAATAGCATAGCCAAGATTGCTGTTGGCATACACGCTGCCATCACTTTGCCGCCCACTATCACCAATATCAACCAGTGTGAATTTATAATTTGCATCACTAACTCCCAACAAAACAATGCTATGAGTCTTTTGTATTTAAAAACTCAATGCCTGTCCAGCAGGAGCAAACATCTGCACATGCTTTCCATCAATTACTCCCAGCATATTAGGAAAGTTCCATCGATCTTCAAAATCTTTAGATACTTTTTTCCAGTCACTTTCAGTGCAAGGTGTTTTCATGAAACCCATTTCCTTTAGTTTGTCCCAAAGTGCGTTGCATGTTTCGTAGATAATTCGACCAACAGTCGTTGAGCTCATTCTATAATTGGCAGCGATAGTTGTATGAGCATCCCCAGTTGCCAAATATCGCAGAGTGACTAAAAGTCTTTGATCTACACTTATTAGTTCTCGCATTTTCGTCTCTTTCTTTCTTATCATCGGGGCAATATACCCCAACAAGGTCTCAAAAGTGTCAGGTAACATCCTGAAATATCTGAAAAGCATTTCATGATCGAATAATCGCAAGTCTTTAACCAGCAAATTGTACTCGCCTTTCTCATTTCTTTCCTCGTACAGTTTATGCATCCAAAATCTTGGTCGTTTTCGCTTTGTTTTCATGGATCTTACTCTACATGCATGAAGTAAAATCAAATGCCTTCGAAGAAGTAAATAATGCATTAAAGTTTGATTCACATCCGCCATTTTCTCAATTTCACATTGCAATTTGCAATCGTCTTTGACGATTTTGTTGACGATTTTGTTGACGATTTTATTTCCTACTGCGCATGTGGCGCAGCGAATTTTTAAGACGATCGTCATAAAAATCGTCTAGTGGAGATCCGCCCTTACGGCAGCGAAACATACCACTGCATATAATTTAAATAAAAACAACAGATAGACAAATGGTCGTGGTATTTTGAACAGACTATTGATCTAACCAAACTTAAAGGTAAGCGCAGTATTTTGTAGTACAATATATATTTATAATATTGACATGTTATTCGACATAGTTGCATTCAAGTAAACAAAGACAAATGGTCTCCTGTGATTCTTTATTGTGATCAACAAAATGAAAATGTATAGCAGTTTAGAATTTAAAAATGTTATACCATTACACATTTATTTAACTTTAAATGTGTTGAAACCTGAAAGCATAAAGAAAATTAAAGCACAATTTATTTTGAAATTATTTTGCCCACTGGTATTACATATGTAAGCTCCCCATCACTTGTTCTACAGTATAAACAAATCTAAATCAACTTATCAAGAAAGGTAAGATAACATTGAAAATTCTAGACATTTTATTCTCCATTTCCCTGATTTTTTGTTAGACGATGGTTTGATATCACTTTATGTACTAAATTTTTGACATATTTTTTATATAATATAATCTTGCCAATTGTATTTTATGTTTTGCATGTACCAAGGGCAATTTGTTAACAACATATTCATGTATTATACAGGGAAAATCAGTAATAGTCATTTTACATTATATATGTAACATTTTTATTGTTCAAGGTAACTAAGTAACTAAGGAAACTAATTACCATCTTAGATATATATTACATATTAGTAAAATAAAATCTACAAGTCTTTGCTGTCGCTGTTTGTAGATATTTGTATATATATCAAAAATGGAAAGTTGCTATTAGTGACCTTGAACATTGAAATATTGATAAAGTGGTTACTTTTTGTGTGTGCATGCACACATGAATGTACATGCACATATATATATAAGTGAAGCACCAAGAAAGCTCAATTAATCATTAAAGTGCTTATATTACAATTTTAGCCCCCTTTTATGAGCTTAATTGAAAGACCTTGTTTCAGTGATTTTAAATCTGCAATTATAATTGAAATTGGATTGGTGAAAGTGATTTTACGGATGTTCAAAGTCACAACTTTCAGCATTTTTTTTGCGAACTTTTTGATTGGTATGCTAATGACTTGTGGCGTAAAAGTTGAACACATATATCAACATGGCGTATTCTACTAGTAATCTTAGTGGCTGGGATTCCTGAACCATTACAGGACGAAATAACCGAGTTTACGCTTATTTATGTAAATTTTTCTTTTGTCATATGTAAATTCGATATAAGTTTTGTAGATTATTCGACATACTCTCCATAAGCCATCGCTGAAGGAAACATGTTTTCTCGATGAGGAAGTACCATCTACTAGTGATGGAGCTGAGCATGTTGAAGTATGCACTGGGGAAGCAAACCATTCGCCATTTGAAGAAGAACTACATGCAGTTGGTGAAGATATTTGTGAATCCAGTCTCCATGTAAATCATGCCATCGTCTTAAGAAAAAACTTACATCTTTACAAAAGACTTTAAGCTGGTATAAAAGACAAAAGCATCTTTGAAGAAAAAGGCCCGAAGTTGCAAAATGAATATCGAAGCGAAATCAGGGAAAATCGTAATACATCCGTGGTGAACAGCATTAATATAGACGATGGAATGCAGGGGAGTGCTGAAGAGCTTTGAAGGAGAATCATACATGGACTACTCCTCTTTTGAAGAGTCTAGTCAGAGTGAAGATTTAGATGAAGATACCACAAGTAATACAGTCAGGTATTTTATCTTATAAAGAATTAGATCTCTGTTGTATTTCATAATAATGAATTTTCTTAATCGTATTACAGAATTGATGAAGGAGCAAGCTCGCATAAACAACCTATGTTCATGGTATTTTACATCTCATTGGTTGAGTTATTTGAAAAATTTTGCTTTAACTGCAAGGCTGAAAATCCAAAAGTACACATTAAAAACATTGGTTCGATGGCCATTGTAGAGCAAAATTGTGGTAAATGTGTTGAAAAGAACTTTATGTGGCAAACACAAGCAGGTAAAGGCCAAGTATTCTCCCATCCCATAGACCCACAAAACCATCGCATCAACCATCTGTATGCCACAGCTCTCAAGTACCTGAAGTAAATAAAAAGGTTGGACTAATTATTGTTGATGAAACAATGTTGATGATAACATTGTTTCTCATACAATTTACAATGTTACATATTTAATGATTGTGATGCTTGGCGGCGAAAAGCACGTCCATTCCTATCTCTCAATAGTGGCCCGACGTTTTCAAGGACAGCCTCGTGAACTAAAGGCCCAAATTTGGCATGCTGTGTTATGCATGATATTTTCTCAATTCTGCCATCGAATGTCATTTTCTGCAAAGCTGGTCCTATTTCCTTACAGCATCTGTACTCTAATGCGCCTTCTAACAAATCGGTATGACAGCATTGACAATTACACCTGAAACGTGAGAGCATTGTGGTTTATAAAGTAACTTTATGTATATTACAAACAGGGGAAAACAACAACTTACCATTCACCGAGTGGAATTACGCCATCACTTCGTTGTTCTAATGTCGCAGGGAGAATTCCATCGGGATCATCTGGAGTATGCACTTCATCACCATCTCCTGCGAGCGGTTCATCGTCATATGCGAAGTCGTTTAAATGCTCGACATAACCCACGGATTCCGAGCTCGAATCAGATACGCATTCAGACATCGAATTCGAATTATCTGAGCACTGATTTGAGGCCATACTTTCCGGAAAACTTGTTTTTTAATATTTTATTGAAAATACTGTCATTATTTGTTAAAAAGACAAGAAAAACGACAACAAAATCACCTCCTATAATATAATATTATATTGACGGAAACAGACGTGTTCAACTATCTAAGTCACAAGTATCAATATGGTGTCGTAAAAAATTCGCAAATAGTACCCGACTTTGGAGGCAAAATTAAGGAACTTATATTTATCTGTTTAAGTCCAGCGACATGTCAAAGTTCTTCAAATAATCCAAATTTTCAATTAAGCTCATAAAAAAGGGGGGCTAAAATTCGTAATATAAGCACTTTAATAAAAATCCAGAGAAACTCTTACAATTGAATACAAAATATAACAATTCTTTCTATAGTTACAACTTTGAGTTTCCTCTAAAGCATTTTATTCTTTTGATTCATTATACGCATTTTGGACACTTCCAAGTGACATTTGTCTTGTGGAAAACTGAATCTGGCATTGTTGGTGAACACTTTTTGTGTAACCACTCCAAGCATTTGTCACACTGAGTACACCATAGGTCTGGGTTTTCAAGATCTTTCTGGTTCTATGGCATTCGCCAGTTGAACATCAGTGAAAATTTCAATTTTCTTTGGATTTGACTCTTGTCATCAATTTTCCTTTTCTTTGTCAAAGGGAAAGGAGTGAACTCATTTTTTTTTCAGACAACTCAACAAGTGTGATCGCATGGAACCTTCATTATACATCAAAGTTGTTGGATCTTGGTTAAAAAGTAATGACACAAGAAATGCAATTGCAAACACCCCACAGTCAACGTAATTGAATTGATAGTGGACATGTGGTATGTTGATTGTGATTGATGGTGTTGGCTCATGGAGTAGGTTGGCAATTTGTTTTTCTGTTAAAGAACTGACTCTTCCATTGTACAAACTGTCATATAAATTGACTGAAGCAGGCTGACAGTCAATATTTGAAACCAATACCCAGTGATGAATACCTGTGTGGAGAATCTGGAAAAAAGTACCCCGATGTACAGAAAAATTGGTAAAAGGGCCAAGTGTTGTGTTTTCTAAACCAAGTACGGCAGGAAATTGTTTCTGCAAAACATGTGCAGCACCAATGATGTGATCTGTTAACTCTTTTCTGGTGATGATTATATTTATGTCAATGTTACTAATTTTAAAAAATCCACGCTTTGGGGTCTGAACGATCTTTTCCAGTTTATCACCTGATTCTTTGTTCAAGGGCTCAATAGGTCTGTAATGGGAAGAGTTTATTTCATCTGTCACAATATTTGAATCATTTCGTCCAATCTTTGCTTGCTTTCCTTCTATTTCTGTTAATTTTGAAGCATAACTTCTTTTTAAAGTTGGTGCTTTTGCACCACTTCGACATGACCAGGGATTTTTCTTTGCCGGTTTTGGGATGGGTTTAAACGGATTTACTAAACACTTGCTATTTTTGACGCTACATTTTGGGGCAGATTTCTTTATATCTGGCACTTCCAACACTAAACCATTTTCCTTTGGAGAAACATCAGTCAGTATTTTATAACATTCATCCAATTTGACCTTTACTTCATGCAAAACATTGCCATTTCCCCATCCCTCAGCAACATAAGTTAAATTCTTTATGTGTCCCAACCGTTCTCTGCACCTTGCGGCTTCTGTTCTATGTGAAGATGGCTTTCGTTTTAGCTCAGCTACAATGGTGGGAAAAATATTCTTGTCCTTAGTTACGTGGATTTCGTTTTCCTCTGGTGCTTCGACGGTTTGTAAAGAATCATCGGAGTGACATTGGCTTACCTCAAATGGCTTTGTTTCCATTACAAACGTGCAACCTATTCGATCAACTGTTAAAAATGGAGATTCCGTGTACGACTTCGGTAGTTTATCAAATGACCAAAGTGGAAAGTTCTTGAAAATCGCAAAGAAGTGCTTACATGGCAACCTGTGTCTTTCCCAGTCATAACAATCACAGCTTGTCAGATCACCTGGATCACTTCCAAACGACAATGTATAAAACTTGCATACGTCTTGACTACGAACTTTGAAAATTCCATGCATTTCGTCAACAACCATGATGTGTGATGCAAGGGTATATTCTGACGATGCAAGTCTTTTCATACAATGCCTAATCATAGTGTGTGGTCTTTCGTGAAGGTATGACGGGACATCAGAATTGTACTGCCTGTAATTGCTCTGCAATTTCGTATTTAATTCGATGTATCTGTAAAATTAGAGAAGAATTTCCTACGTTATTCCTGCTAAAATACTAGCGCTAAGAGCAGCAGCGAATTCCCCAGCCCATTTTTTGTACCTCTAGAAATCATATATTTTTGTGTTTAATCAATGGAAAGACAATGAATGGAATCGAATTTCTAAAGAAATGAACAATAATTTTGCTGAGAAATCTGATTTGTTGGAGGAAAAGATCGGGCTGGCTTCGCCATCGCCTAAGAGACTTGTTCAAGTAAATAAAAAGAAAAAATAAGCACTTGAAATAAAGGTCGGGCAAAAAGTCTTCAATTAGCACTGTCAGCATGACGCTCAACGTTGAATTCTTGTAGCCATCCAAATATTCATGCTTGAAAGCTTTGTTTTGCCTTTCCACGCCATTGTTTGTGTTCATGACTGTTAGCAGTCGATCTTTCGAAAGGTCTACACCCATTTCTATAAACTTTGTCCGCGCGAGAAAATTAACGAAATCAACATGTATTGTAATTATTGATGAGCACTGTAAGAATGATATTATTACATGTTTGTAAATGTAGATCGTCCAGGTTGGTATAGTCCTGAGAAGGGCTGTTTTTGTTGTTGTTGACTGACGTTTCGACAACCTTAGCGGTAGTCATCTTCACAGTAACCGACTACCGCTAAGGTTGCCGAAACGTCAGTCAACAACAACAAAATCAGTCCTTCTCAGGACTATACCAACCTGGACGATATACATTTACAAACATGTAACGATACTCCCGGGTTCAAACCATTTACTTTAATGATATTATTAGCAAATTATAAAATTCTCTTGCCTTGTATTGGGATAACCATGTATTGCCAATCCAGTTGCGCAGTTTTGGGTTTGTCTTCCATTCTTCTGATGACTTAAAATTATTAACATTTTCCTCGTAATCAGCCTCCGTCCTCGCTCTGGCAATTAATCGAAGTTTTGCAAGAATCGTTTTTTTTTAACGGGAGCAGTCCGTTGCTGCTTTTTGAAAGCCATCGCTCCCACGCTTGCTCTCGATAGAAATCGCAGATGTACGTCTGACATCCTGTAATATATACGTACAATTAACATGAAGTGTATTGACTAGATTGTACCTTTTACTCCACCCCACAAAAAAAGAAATTTGCATATTTCTGCCTCAATTAAAACAAAGAGGTGTGTAGCATTGTGTGTGCCTTTGAAAGTAGCTTAGTTCTAGGTTTCCTGACTAACCTGCGAATACTCGGTTTATCTCCGACATTTCCTCTTCAGGGTAATCTACCATAAAATACGCTAGATTCCACTCGTTGTTCCAACCTCTTATAACTTGAAGAGCCTCCGCAATAGCGTACGATGTTTCACTTTGCAGGACAAAAGAACCAACGACTTGATAGCTTACATTGGTTTTTACCACAAGAAAAAACAAAGCGAGGCTGTATTTTGTCGTTTTGTAAGTGGCATCTAGAAGGGTAAGTTCGTTACCATATCTCTTTAGAAGACGTTTCTGATTAACAGTTTGGTGAATGAATAACAATCCATTTTTTGACTCTGGCAAAACTGTGTTGTCATCATCATCGTCATCGTCGTCTTCTTCGTTATCAACACTATTTTCTTGAGTAATCAAAGACTCTGCTGAATATTTAGCAAGCGGGCGAAAGAAGAAAGACTCGTCGGAACACCTCAGTTTCCAGTCTTCGATTTTCTTTTGAAGATTTTCTTGGTCAAATTTTGAAAATCTTTCTTTGATGACTGCCTTGTAAATGTTGCACAAGACTGAAACACCTCAGTTTCCAGTCTTCAATTTTCTTTTGAAGATTTTCTTGGTCAAATTTTGAAAATCTTGCTTTGATGACTGCGTATGGTTTGTTTGGAAGGATAAAATCTCCGATTGGTTTTAGCGGGTGCCTTTGTTGCTTTGTACAGGTCTTGCTCCACATAGATTTTAAGATGCATCCTAACATCTTTAACTGAGCAAGCCCCAGCAACAACCAATTCTTGAATCTTGGAAACAAGAATCTTATCAATTCCTTGATGAAGACCTCCAGCCTACATATAAAGGAGCCAATTTTGCACCGTACAAAAACTAGGACTAAATATATCCTTACGCTTCCTATAGGGTGAGTTTTGTGCTCAGATAAGCAAGGCAACTGGATATGGATCCACCTTTCTCCATTGGCATTTCCACCTTTCCCTAAGTTTTTTCGACATCGATTTTTGTCGCCAAACCGTTTGCTCTTTAATCTAAAGGCGCGTAAATTTATCAAAAAACCTGTGTGAGTAAAGTTTCAAGGCAAATTGATTTGGACAAATCCAGACATTTTTGTTGTTTACACCTGACACATCGAGTAATGCATGTGAATAAACACTGTTATTTAAAATTACCCTAAAATCTGGAAATTTGATGTATTCCCTCATGTGAACTTGTGCTGAACAGTTTAATTTCTTTGTTCCTTGAAACATGTTTCTGTGCTTCTTAAACGAGTGGTCGCTAGAATTTGACTAAAATATATAAACATGTTGGTAAATAAATAAAATAATTACACCTAAAAGGAAAGGCAGCTGAAGAAATTCATGAAGAAGAAAGAAACCAAGATTACATGACAATGTTAAAAATACAAGAAAACTCAAAGTTTCAATCAAAGCTCTTGACACTGGAAGTTTAATTGCAACGTACTATAAGGTTAGCAACGTCGTTTCACTTTCATTTTACTTTTTTTAAATCTGTAGTATTGCATTAGCACATGAATAATATCTATTACCGTTCTGTTTTTCTTCTTTTGGCTTGAATGCCTATCTACCCCATGACGACAATCGTAGACCCTATGGTTCACTTGAACGAACGGTATATGGTCAAATGGAAGCTGGCCATCTTCCCACCAAACCTTGTGATTGGCACTTGTGAGATCTAACATTTTTTCGATTAAAAATGGAATAAGTGATTTCATTTAGTTCAAATTGAACCATTATATTCAACATTACTGTGTCATTTACGTGGTTGTATTCTGTACACATTAAACGAAAAACCCTTTTTAACGAAAAACTGTGCTTTGCCTCTTGCTCTTTTTAGGGCTGTTTACATGAGCCGGCAAGCCGGGCTAATTTTAAGCCCGACTTTACATGGCAATAATCGCGCGACAAGTCGCTGGTGTTTTTCGCGCGAAAATTAAAAAACCTAACATGGCGAACGTTTCTGCACTTATAACGATTATTGTATTAGTTATTTTGGTTTTTTTGATCGTTTTCATTTAAATTTACGGCTTTTGGTCATCAATATATTAAACCATCATCAAATGGTACAATGTATGGCTATATTATTGTGTGCTACAAGAGTTGTTTCGCTCGAAAAGAAGACGAGCGTGCTTTGCAAAAAGAAACAACAAAAGCGGAGGTCAACTTGGAGGCAAAATGGAAGGACAGAATCTTGGTGGGCAAAGCTTTTATCTAACGAAATGCCACTTGGTACGTGGAAAAAAATTTTCGAATGAGCGGGAAGAATTTAAAAACTAGCTGACGAACTACGGCCTTTTATATCCCCAGATCTTTCTTCTCCAAATTATATGGCTTTGAGCGCAGAAAAAGTTGGCTATGACCTTGTATTTTTTGAAGGACACCGGCTCTATGGCAATGACAGCAAATACTTTTGGTGTGGCGCTGTGTACTGTTTCTAGACATGTAGTACAAGTCAGTTATGCCATTGCGAAGCATCTCGGCCCGAAATACATACATTTGCCAATGAGTAAAGACGAAATGAGACAAAAATCTGCTGAATTTGAAGCAAAATTTGGGATGCCCCAAGCATTTGGTGCATTGATGGAACTCATGTACGAATTAAAAGACCAGTTTGTAACTCTCAAGAATATTTTAATTATAAACAGTTTTATTCCTTGAGTGTTCAAGCTGTTTGTGATTTTCAAGGTCGTTTCATGGATGTAGATTGCAGATGGCCAGGAAGTGTCCACGATGCGAAAGTGTTTGCCAACTCTTCTATAAATAGAAAGTTGAGCAATGGTCTACTTCCAGTTACTTACAAACGACTAGTGCCAGGTCATGCAGAAATCCCAAACTATTTAATTGGGGACCCAGCCTATCCTCTTTTGCCGTATTGCATGAAAGAATACCAAACATGCACAACAAACCAAGAGGTTCTATTTAATAATTTGTTGCGATCAGCCCGAAACCCAATTGAATGCTCATTTGGAAGGCTTAAAGCTAGATGGTCAGTTTTAAGTAAGCAGATCGATGTAAAATTAGAAAATGTACCAGTAATAATTTACTCATGCTTTGTTCTTCACAACTATTGTGAACAAAATAAGACTGGAATTGACCACAGCTTAGTTGAAAAACAAATTTCGTTAAAGAAGGTGCAAGAAAATGGAAATCCTTTGGCAAAGTATTCTAGCAATGAAGGGAAGGAGGAGTTGTTAGAACTGTTTTGACTACTTACATTAAGTTAAATCTTCCTGATCATTTGGTAACAGATTAATAAGTAAATGAAGTCTACACTTTCATGCAATTGTAAAACTTTATGATATATATAGTTTGTTAAGGTAAACAAAATTGTTTCAAATAGGAAATATACAAAAAAAAACAAGCATGTTACAAAATGTTAATACTTTGTCCCTATTAAAACAACTCAACAAAACAACAAGAACCCATTAAGCCTCTTTTAAACATACATTATCAGAAAATGGGATTGCAAACTACAAATACTACGAGTAGAAACTAGAAATTTCATGAAGTGATGTAAGTGCTTATATGGGTTATTGAACATACAGGGTCTCTGAGTGAAATAATATGTCAAAAGAGGAACTGAAAAATTTAATAATATAGTGACACAAAAGTTACTGTTGCTAACAATGTCTTAAGTTTCAATGCCAAGTACAGCCATAGTGTCATCTGCTCATACTCTAAAGTAAATACCTTTTGGAGTGTGAATACATTATATAGCTACACTGCAGGGTCATCTGGATTATATGATGATGCAGAGTTGTTTTGCATTTGTTGCCGTGCAGGTATTGACAATCGTTGGTGATATTGTGGCTGCTGATATTGTGAGTGTTGATATTATGGATGTTGATATCGGGGGTGTTGATATCGTGGATGTTGATACTGCTGCTGCTGCTCGTTGGCAATCACCGAAGCTAACATCTCAATTGATCGTGTCAATCCTGATCCAATATTTTCAATGGCCGTACTCATGTGCGTAATTGCTGCAGTTGCATTCCTCGAGGATTCTCTAAAAACATCTGTCATTTCTTTCCTAAAATTCATTTCATGTTTGCTTTCTTTAAGGAGAATTGATCTCGTTGAGCCGGAGTGCGCTCCATATGCTTTCTTTTATTGTCGATTAACTTAACACATGCATCTTCTGCACCCCGCTTATCACCCAAAGATACACCTCCAGAGCTGGTATCCAGTGAATCATTGGATGATAAATCTGAACCATCATGGCTTTCATCTGTTATAGTTAGCCCAATTTCATCACATTGCTCTTGGTTTATGGTACTAAATGTATCAGTGTCTACTCCAATGCTTAGAGGTGAAGCTGATGCTGAGCCACCATATATCTTGGCCAGCCTATCGTAGAATTCAAACACGATTTTACCGCTGCCACTTCTTTTACCATTGGTTACAGCAGTGCCAAAATTTTGACGTATTTCTTTAACTTTTTCTTGAATTCGACAATACCCCTTTTTGATAAAGTCACGTTGAACTTTTAAATCTTTAACATAAGCTTCTTTTTCATCTTTTGACATTTCCATGGCATGTGGTATATCGGCTTCTGCTGGACCAAAGTGATCACTATACATCTCTAACATTTGCACTGTCAAGATAAAAAAATATAAAAGAATCATTCAGAGTGGTATTAAACTACAAATTTAAAAGCTTATTAAGCATACTTGTGCGCAAAAATTCAACCAGAAGTACATAAAATAACAAAAGCTTTACAGTCTTTACGAAGTACAGTATTACCTCTTATCCATTCGTATTGTTTCGTGCGATCTGCATCGAAATCTTTACCTTCGTACTCGCACATTGTTTTGTATGTTTCGATGTTATTGATAAGAAGTTCGATCATTTCATGTGACCATCGAAAAGGTCTTGTTTTTGTAATTACTGACCTTGATTGAGCACATGTGTCCGACGCCATTACACAAAAGAACGAAGAATGAACGTATCTAGTTACTATGGTAATTCTACTTTAAGCCCGGTCAGCCCATTGAGTTCTATAATAACTGGAGGGGAAACGTCAACAAAATTTGTATAAATTATTAGCGCGCGGCCGCGTGGTCAAAAACATGGCGGATTTTGGTGGTCAAAGTCAGCGGAGAGACGCGGGCTCATCAAATAAAATTTTTGTCGCCCACCCTGATTTGACCACCACGATTGCGAGTATAGAAATTATCAAAACTATTTATTTTCCTAACATAAACACTTTTTTAAAATTTTATTTATTAAACCGCCAACTTCTGTGGTTTGCGGATGCTGAAATAGCGACAGAAAAGGGAACATTTCTTGACTCCGGTAAGTAGCACAGTATTAGTTTTACTATTGTGTTTTTAACACGATACTTGAAGAGTGTTTCTACTACTAAGTTTTAATTTAAAGTTATTTTGGTCCAGTCTTGTTTGTTCTTCACTTAATCGCTCGCCAGACGTGGCGAAGCTGTCAATTTTTATCGAGTTTTGCATCCATCTTGTATCATGATCAAGGCATCAAGCTAAACTCTCCTGATTTGAATTGAGTTTACCTCCCAAAAATGGGGCATAATTTGTTCATGTTTTTTTTTGAAAAGATGAAGGGAAAGTTTACAACAGAGTTGTGTTGAAATTGAATGCAGTGCCATGCAAAATTAATGAGAACTATGGTATATGTTGTATAATAAAAATAACTTAAACTGTTTGCCTGCTCAATTTGACTGACTGTATGGTGTAGACAATTATAATGAGATTGGAAAGTTGGATTTATGCTAACAATTTTAAAGTACTACTTAGCGTTTCTGTAAATGAAGTATTTATTGTTATAGTAAACAGGTTAATACTTCAAAACCAAGATAAAAGTAGTGTGTTGAACAATGTGCTAAGATTTGTTTCTTCTTTGAAATTTTTGTTCAACAGTAGCTTATGATTATATCATTAATAGGCATGAAAAATTAAACATATCATTGTCTCCTCATTAAATCCATAATTGGTACGATTCCAGGTGATCCACAAATTCACATCGGATGCATTGGTTACAATGAAGTTGAATGTAGAGGAAGCAAAAATAGATGGCAAAGAAATTCTTTGTGTCTTATGAAGAATTAGTAGAAATCAATAAAAAGAATTCTTTAAACAAATTGTAAACAAATTTAAATTTGCTCATGGTCAAGCAACCTAGTCAAAGAAGCAAAGTCTGTCTTCAACATGTGACCTTTCCAATTATTTAGTTTCTTTGTACAAAATACTATTTTAGAAACTTGATTTGTAAGTCTTTCATTAATATTTTTACCAAGAGATAAAAGGAACTAATTCAAAGGCTTGATGCAAAATACAAAGATTTAACAAGTTGTTTATCATTTAATTCCCAAATGTTAGTTTGTACATATAAATAATTAGTATTGGTAGCTGTAAGTTGTTTAAGCAAAACAGAAGAGTAGTAGTGCTCGAAGGGGTTAGCATTTTTGAAAAATTATATCTTGTTCTTGACATATATTACACAATTCCAAAAAACTGTAAGTAATGCACAATAATATCTATAGAACTTGATAAATTTCTTCACCTACACTGTCAAATAACTATTTTGCCTTCATGCAGCAATAGACAGTGTTTTCGTCAGAGAAACCAATGCACTTTAGTTTCCAAGTTTGTAATTTCAATGGAAAATTAATGTAGTTCTGTTCAGTAAAAGATCCAAGATTCCGCCAAGCTGTTTACAAAATACAAATTACCAAGCAACAGTGTCATGGTGTTTTGAATTTTTCTTTTTGTAGCTCTTCTAGTTCAACATACTTTCTTTATGAGTTTTCAGTAGATTTATCAGGTAATGACAATACACTTATGATACTTATCCATGGTAAATTTTAGTTGACTTATGTCGTAGGACTGAAGCAAACATTTTCTCGCTTCCTTAGGAGCATTTTTACACAGATTTATACATTTGAAGCAAGAAAAATAGGTGCACCAAACGGTTTACAAACAGTCAAACACACAAAAGCATGAAATAATGTATACGTTTGACGAGATTGACAGGTCTAGTAAAGAATGCCGTTTGATTTTCACTTTTAAAAGGCTAAAATGTCATAAAATAACTTAAATGTTACATCCAAAATATGCGTTTCTCTACCATCGATCTTCTTTATTTTGATGTGTGTCTGTACTGTGTTTTTCACGCAATGCTGAAGCATTATTTTCACATGATATGCTGTCGGTATCGTAATTGTTTTTTTTCTCACTTGTTTTCGTTCATACAAACAGTATTGGAAATCAGGAGGGAGTGAATATTGAAAAAAATTTTTAAAGTGGAAGTTTTGACCACCAAAATCCGCCATTACCGCCATGTTTTTGACCACGAGGCCCAGGCCCCTTTGCCCCTCCAGGTCTTATAGAGCTCAATGGGTCAGCCGGGCTGACGTGTTTACATGGAAAAAATTACCCCGTTTAACCATTGAGTTCTATAAGACCTGGAGGGGAAACGTCAACAAAATTACTATAAATTATCAGCGCGCGGCCGCGTGGTCAAAAACATGGCGGATTTTGGTTGTCAAAGTCAGCGGAAAGACGCGGGCTCATAAAAGAAAATTTTTTCCGCCCACCCGGATTTGACAACCACAATTGCGATTATATAAAATTTCAATGCCAAGCACAAAAACTTTTAGAAATTTTATTTTTAAAACATGCTGCAAACTTGTTTGGCATACGGATGCTGAAGAAATGCCTGAAGCATTTCACGACACCGGTAAGCAACGTAAGATTGTTTACCATTTAAAGTGTTCAGTGTTATGTTTTAAGTCAATACTTGAAATGTGATGGTATATATTTTGTTAATGTTTTTACTCCTAAGTTTTAATTTAAGTTATGTTTATTCAGTCCTATTTGTTCTTTACTTAATCGCTTGCTAGACGAGGCAAAGCAACCAGTTCTTATCGAGATATGCATATCTTAAAACTCCTTGTTTCAACTGAGTTGAAATGGAGGATTTTTTCATGATATTTTTCTGAAAATATGAAGCAAATATTAAGGACAGAGCTGTATTGAAATCAAATGCAGTGCAGGATTAATTAATGAGCTCTTTGGTACATGTGTACAATAAAAATACCTGTATTAAACAGCTAGCCTGGACAATTTGACAGATTATGGACAATCATGATGATGGTGTGTAAAGGTTTGCTATGCTAAAGTTTTATAAATGCCATCTGGTGTTTCTGTAAATGAATTGTTTATTACACAGTGTAGTAAACAGGTTAGTACATCAAAATCAAGATAAAAACTACTTTTTTCAATAATGTGCCAAATTTTGCTCCTACCTTGAAATATTTGCTCAAGAAAAGCTTATCATGACATGCATGAAACATTAAATATAGTACTGCATCATCTGACAAAATCCATACATTTTCAATTCCAGGTGATTAAAATTCACATAAGATGCATTGGTTGCAATGAAGTTGAATGTGGAAGAAGCAAAATTGATGGCAAAGAACTTTATGTCTTTTGAAGAATTCGATAATACTATATATAAATGTTTATTTGTTTGTTGAAGAATTACGATATCATTTAAAAGAATAAGAGTAGCAATCTAGTAAAAGCCACATCTGCCTTCAACATGAGACTTTTCAATTATGTATAGTTACTTTGTACAAAATACTATTTTAGATAAACTTGATTTTAAGTCATTCACTGATATTTTACTAAAGACAAAAAGAAAAATTCAAAGACATAATGTAAAATTCAAAAATTTGTCAAGTTGTTTGAACCTAGAAAAAATTAGTATAGGTAACTGTAATTTGTAAGGACACAAGAGAAAAGTAGTGCAAGGTTAGCATTTTTGAGAATTAATAAGTTCTTGACATACATTACACAAGGCCATAATATTATAAATGTCTGTACAATAATTATACAACATGCTAAATATCTTCACCTACATTATAATTATTTAAACAGGTTTGCCTTCATGCAGCAATAAGAAAAGTGTTATGTCAGAAAACAATGCACTTTGATTTAATAAATAGTATTTTCAATGGGAAATTAATGTAGTTCTGTTCAGTAGTAGATCCATGGTTGTCAATAACAATCCAGTTTCTAATATCCAGCAACATGATTATAGAATTTCTGAATTTCGTTCTTTTGCTCTCCTAGTTCAAGATATTTTCCTCATAAGTTCTCAGTAGATTTATCAGAATATCATAATACTTTATAAGACACCCAGAATCAATCCTACAAAAATCTCAAAAATTACATACCTACTTATAATATATTTCCAGTCGACTAAAGTCGTAGGGTAAGCTAACTTTTCTAACTCCTTTTGGACATTTTAACTAAGATTTACCCATCTATTCAAGAAAGACAGTTGCACCAAGCTGTTAACAAACAGTCAAAACACAAATAATGCGCATGGGATTATGCATTAAAGCTTAACAACAAATTGACAGTGTAAAGAATGCCGTTTGATATTTATTTCTAATATAGCTAAAGCATTACTTGACAAAATATACGTTATTTTACAGTAGATTTACCTCATTTAAATGTGTGTGTCTTTTCACAAAACCTGAAGCATTATTTTCAATATTTTATGCTTACGGTATCGTGGTTGTTTTCGCTGGTTGTCATAATATAAGCAGGAATAGAGATCCGGATTCGGGAGGAGGCGATGTTAAAAATTTTTCTCAAAGTGGAAGTTTGACAACCAAAATCCCATTACCGCCATGTTTTTGACCACGGGGTCAGGCCCTTTCCTCCAGGTCTTTTAGAGCTCAATGCGTTTAACCCATTGAGCTCTAAAAGAACCTGGAAGCTAAACCAATGATCAAATAACTTTAATCAAACCTGGCTTCGCTTCCAATCAGATCTCCTTCCTAAATGACAACCAGCGTATTTGATACATTCAGCATAAATATTGACAACTTCGGTATTGAAATTGAATGAAATCTAACATATTTTGTCCGGAAACTATTAAATAATCAACACTACACTGTCATTGTTAAATCAATGTTTTGACGAATGTCT